CTCATGAGTGAGAACACAGTATTAGTTCTAACATGAAATCAGCATGCATTGGATATTCCTTCTGTTTTTATTTACTTCCTCATATAATTTGACTTTTGCATGGGGTGCTATAAATTGAATATATCAAATGATTACTGTCCATGAAGTTAGAAGAAACATATTGAAATATATTAGATCTATCCCATAAGAATAGAGTAATATTCAAAAACTATTTCTTTTTCCTAACCCAGAAACACTAAAGCTCGCAGAAAAGTCTTTATACTTTGCAAGTATCCCAGCCTACTATCCAACAACTCCTTGATATTTCAATCTAGAAGAGACAAATACTTCGACATTAAACTGTCGTCCTGAAGAGTAAAAATAACCTTTTAATCTGTTTCCCGCTAAGCTAGTTTTTTCCAATGCTTGCTCTCATACATTTGCAGTTCCACACTCCATGTGGATTTCAACTTTTTGTTTTGTTTGTTGCATCTCAGACTAGGGCCCATTGGAATTAGGAGGCTAATAAATTCAAATACCTAAAAATAAATAAGTAAACTTTTGTACCACAATTTTATTTATTTATATTTCTTATTTCTAAACTGCCGATCTCCCTTAAAGATGATGTGCATATTGTGTATAACTGTATTTAAAGTTAAGTTTAAATTTTAAAAATCTCCCATTTAAAAAAGGCAAAAAATTCAGTCCATGCTTCCTCTCATGATATCCCTTTGTTGCTGCTATGCCAAAACTGTATCTGTAAAAAAGTTGCTTGCCTTGATCTAATTCCTCTATTAATTTAAGGCTCAGGGTATTGCAAAGGTACTGATACTTCCTAAAGTGGCAACAATACACTTTTGTCTTTAAACATAAATTTGCCTCAATGTCTGGTGACTTACAAGCTACAGGACTGATTATGCCTATTTTTTTCAGGTTTTTTTTTTTTTTACATCCTAGTCTAGACTACAGTCCTGGATATCTCAGAGATCCCCATCAAAGTACTAACCTAACAAGCCTAACTCTATTTGGCCTTTTTAGATTAATCAGAACCGATAGCTTCGGTATATCTTCCTTTCCCAGTGAATATTCTAATATTAAGAAAAAACCCTCTCTATTACTGATTTAAAAGATCAGTAAGAAAAAATTATAAAATAAAACAAACGTTAAAAGCATATAAGTACCAAGGAAGATGTCACGTTCTGAGCACGCTCAATAAAGTTGTGTTTAAGCGGGAGTTATTCGACAGCTGATTGGCTTACCATCTGACAGCTCCGAGTATAAAAAGGGAGCTGTCAGATGAGAAGCCCCTGTTCCTGTCTGAAGCCGGTTCCACACTGTTAGCTTGTTACTTTAAGGAATAAACTTGTTAGCCTCTTTATTCCTGCCTCCGCCTCAGTCATTCCGGCCATAGCCCACGGTCCTAGTACACAATACTGGCGACGAGGGTGGGATCGCCGAACTGAGATGCGAGTTAGCTGGTCACTACCGCTGAAGTCACTAGCTGAAATCACTAAGGAACCGAGCTTATCCGTCGCGACAAGACGTCGCTACCAATCTGAAAGGAATGGCCACGTTAATGTTCGCGCCATTCAGCCAGGGCTCTGAATGCAGATTCAGGCAAGCCCTCTGCCAACGCTGCGGCAGGAAAGGCCACATTGCCAGGGTGTAAAATTGTACTGTTTTCCACCAGTACAGTAACAACAAAAGTACAACTCTCCATCTCTTCCTTAAGTCTTTTGATTGTATAAATGGTGGAAGAAGAAAGTGAAGGCAATACAATTTTCCAGAAAACTCAATACCATCATTTGCTGAATATTGAAAACTTTCATCCCAAAACTATAATTGCTATACGTTATTGAAAAGAAAGAACGTTATTGAAAAGAAAGAACCAGTTCTTCTGGTTGCAACTGATATATGCCAGAGAAAGACACAATAGGAAAATAAATGTCTTAAACAAAAATAGGAATCCTGAAGTAGTTATTTGACAATGGAACAAGATCAAATAAATGCAAGAATTCTTTATAGCCTACCAACTATGTTGAATAGAGGTAGTGTATCCTAAGTCAAATTTTTACAAGATATTAACTTCCAATTAACCGAAACATATTTTATAGAATTAATCCAATGACACAGGCTCACACTACCCTGAGCCAAAAACTAGTCAATCATTTTTAGCTATGCACTAACATACATTTGATAAGCACCTAAAATGAGAACTCACACAAGATGAAAGGAGTCCCTTTCCCTAACCCCTTTGTTAACATAATAGTGCTGTTTCTTGTAAAGATGGGTTTTAAGATCTTTTAAACTACTTTCCAATATATAGTTCTTTCCTCCATGATATATGAGTTATTCTCTGTCCTAGTAATACAAAAATTATTTGTTTTGGATTCTTACTTTAAGCCTATAATTTTCTTTCAAAGATCAGAACACTAGTAAGTAGCTTCCACAGGAACGTTGATGGTTTTTCAGATTGCAATTAAAAGTAAATGCGATTGGTCATATGTAATATCCTGCGGTTTGCCACATTGCTTTGAAGCTGACCTTACAGGAAGGTTGCTGAAGCCTTTCAGGGTGTGATACATATCGTAGCTGGCCTTCATTAGTGTAGGGTTAGAACTTCAATGTCATTATATAATTACAACTGAAAATAAATCAGAAGTGCTTGAAACTTGGCATTCTAATTTCAGAGTAGTATCTATGGAACAAATGTAGTTAGAAATTCAATCTTGAAATGTTATCTATATTGAAATAGACCAAGAGTTCATCACAGATTCCAAATGAGCTCTTATTGAGCACTTAGGATTTTAAAATGTGCTCCATGAAACAATAGCTACCCTTCCCATGTTCACCCTATTCTTTAGTAACTTGAACACATCACTGATCTTCCTTCCCCTTCTTAACTTCTATTGGGGTTGACTGCTTCCCTCACTGTCATGGCCATTCTTTCAATCATCAGCTGTCTAAGAACAGTTCCTTCTCTTATATGATCACACTTTTAATGGAATTCCTCTGGTAGCTGAACCTTTGTTCTTAAAGGAAGGTCTCAGGTTATCTCTGAAATTTCAATTAAATTAGAAGCCTTGATAATTCAATAAGCTGCCTGTCGTTTTGAGTCAAAACATGAGGTTATTTGATCTGCTGTTTATATTTCTGAAGACAGAAGGCATCAAAGCCATCAGTGCAGACAGCTTAAAGACAGATGGTGTAGCAGTGATTTTATCAAGCATTTTTCAAGACATTCGGTACAGACCAAAAGGTAGTTATCTACTATTTGTTTATATAGTTGAGCTTATATAGTGTTCTTTAAAAGAGCCTTTACCAATCAATGTGGTGAGATCACAGGCTCCAAACTATCAAGCCAGCATAGCCAATAGCCATACTGTCTGACTATTTACATAGAACCAAATTATTACTTGAAACAGAGTAGAAATGGGGACATACAAATCCTGTCCTCCATTACAGATGGAAGCTGGCAGGTGACATTGGACCAGTCTGAGTGGAAAGCAAGTTGAAAAACATCCATGTGCCAATCATGTTAGACCAGCAAAATAGATTATAGTCATAACCTTCAGAGAAGAAGCCTTCCTCTCGGAAAGGTCTGATAGAAATCTTGGTTAATTAATTGTATGAGTTTAAATAATTCATCTGTTAACCCAACAGCTTTGCTTACATATGATTAATACAAACTTTTATTTAAATTTCCACATAATAATTTCAGGTTAATTATCAGTTGCTTAGCAACCTTTCAAAGTTACGATGGACTTTCCCAGGGCTACTGATGACACATTTTTGATGTTCCAATAGCTACACCCCCTACCCCATGATTACATGATTGTATTTTGGATGGTTGGCAAATATTAGAAATAATGTGGAAGTGACCAGGGTCAAAGAGCTTGATTACTGTAATTTGAACAAAAAAAGATATCATAAAGATTACTGTATTTCTCTATATTTATTCATTAATTTACTATCTCTGCATAGTGAATTAAAATATGCATTTTCCATTTTAAAGAGGATATAATGCTCAAGAATTAAGGATATTTTATCTGACTTGTCTCAATCTTATTCTTAGGCCTTGACATCTTGACTGTTTCTTTGGGTGTTAGGGCAAGGATGCTAGACTATCTTGTCCCATAAGGTGGAGCATATATCGGTATGCCACAACTGGTCATTAGTTGAACTTGTAGCACTCTATTTATAGCCACAATTGAGCCCAGCATTTCCATTACTAAGCAAGGCAGTTTTTAAATGAATTGTACCTCCATTTTATGATCTTCTATCCACACTGCAGTTGCCAAGTGAATCATGCAGTTGTTAAGCAAATCTGAGTTTCCCCGTTAACTTTGTCAGAAGCCCGCTGCTCGGAAGATTACAAATGGTGATCACATGACCCCAGGCCAGTTCAACTGTCATAAATACATGCCTTGGTCATTTTTTGTAAAGTCTTTCAGAATTCCCAACAAAAGCAATTTGTAAATTGGTGACAGCCTGAAGGATATACATCTAGCTACTATATATATAGAGTTCAGAAGCTCTGCTCTGTCTCTAGCAGGATCTGTACTCCCCTCGTGACTCTTTTTGCTTTGTTTCCAAAATAATAGTGTTTCAGAAATTACTTGTGACATGGATGATAATCAAAGCCTTGCATACCATCTTTGAGCACTAATGCATGAGGAAAATTGAATGCAATTAAACGTTTATTGTTAACTGGCAGGATTTCCCTCAGGATATAACAAATAATGATTCTGCAAATCACTAAAGCGAGAAAAGTTACTTTGGCTTGTGATGAATCAGAGGGCACATTTCTTTGAGTTTTCTTCTTGCGCAACGAACACACGTCTATTCCTCATTTGTATTTGTCAAATTACAAGCCCATGTCCCTGTGATATGAAAGGATAAAATAAAATTAGGTGCCCTTCTATCCTTTGAATGTGATAAAATGTATTTGACCTTTAGCTTCCTTCCTTCCTTCCTTCCTTCCTTCCATAGAAGAGCAACAGAAATCAACAGAAGCTTACTCTTTAGGAGGATTTAGGTCCTCTGGTCGGCTCTCAAAAAAACGGAAGACTTCATCACACTGTGAGATGTGAGGTGGAAGCTTTACCAGTGCCTGTTGAAAAGACAGAGAAATTAACCATACAAGCAGCCTAAGAATAAACAGATGAGAAACACTGGGATTACCTTAACTGACACCTATGGGTAAACCAAACAGAACTTCCCAAAAGCTTTAATAAACAAATATTTTAATTATTTAATCATTAGTATTGATTTGATTTTTAAAATTATCTATATTAATTTTACAATTATGTTTTACATTTTGCATATTTTAACATTTGTTGAGCTGCTTTATTTAAACAGGAATATCAGAAAGTAAATTTAAAATTTTCAGTTTATTAACATGGTTAACAAGCAAATTTAGTACTGTCCCCATTTTTCATTGCTGCTCATAATAAACATTCTGATACTTTCAGAGGCATCATTTAATGGTGGGCACTTCAGTTCTATCATCCTAACCAGCAGAAACATTGGCAGGAGATTTTGGAAATTACAGGGTTGCTCCATTTGTGGTGCTTTTAAAAAGGCTGATCAATGACATATCAACGACATATCAACATCACAACTGAATCATTGAAACAAGCAAAATATATTTTTTATATTTAAACAAGCAATGAAAACAGTAATTTCATTAGCTTTGTAATTCAAATACTGTCTACTAGAAATATAAGAAATTTAATTGTGTACGTGTGTGAGTCAGTGTTGATTCCTGGCTGCTGCTTGGACAAATCCCTATAGTTTTTTTTTTAAAACCAAGATTTACGAAGTGGTTTTCCATTGAGAGAAAGGGCTGAGAAGCTGTGATTGGCCCAAGGTCACCAAGCTGGCTTTATGCCTAAAATAAAACTAGAACTTTATTTGAACTTTATTTGTATTTCACTCATTTTTTGAAAGGTGCAGAGAAGTTACTCACAGCATATTTTCAGCACAACAAACAGTAGCTTGACAAATGGGAAATATTCTATGAAGTCAATAAGGTTGAAGAAATACACACAGTCATAGCCTATTTCCAATTTTTCATGAGAGAATCTGAACTAAAACCTCTACTTCAACCATTAAGTAGAGCTAATTGAAGAAGAAAAAATATAATATTCCCGAGAGCCTTCTTTGATAGTACCCAACAAATTTCCTCTACAAATGAAATAGCTTATATTCTTATATTAATTGGTAATCTAACATGCTATCCCAAACCATTAATAGACTTTGCTACAAAGAAAAGTGTTGATGTAAATTACAACCAAAATCTAAATTGCTTTTTATTTCATGTACAGCAGAAAATAAACACACAATATTCATGTTTCAATGAAAAGGTCAATGAAATGCCAAAGACTGTTTGAAAGAAAAGGGCAGCCTTGTCCCTTTGCCATTTTATAAAAGGTTAGATGATCCCTCTAGGACTTAAGTAGACAGAAGGGAATAGGGAGGCCTCTAAACCTTTTTAAAAATTAAGCAAAATCACAGAAATTCAAGGAGTAAACATTTACAATTAAACAGACTAATGTAAATATAAAAATAGGCTGCAGATTGTGGGTCAAAGATTGCAGATTGCCACAGTTGAGTTAGGTACTACATATTCTAAGTGAAATTATAGAGGAATATGATGTCAATGTTAAAGAAAGAGTACAAGTCCTGTTATGTAAATGTCAACTTAGAAGGCAGAAAGAAATTGAAGATTACCGCAACTTGATTCTGTTTTGACTGAAAAGTAGACAACGAGAAATTCTGATTGGCTTAGAAGTTGCTGCTTCCTTACAGAATTTTTTTTAACTTTCCAATCTAGACAATAACCCTGGAATTCCAAACTATTCTCCCTTTCAAGTACCTCCAGGTAGCAATACCCTCACTAGTTTTCAAGATCAGCCATAGTTGGATAGGTACTGCCAACTGCCAATAATTCTTTTTAATCTGCTCTAGAAAGAAAAAAGCAGAAATAAATGTATTTCTGTAGACTTCTTGTAGAAAAGAAGTCAATTAAATATTCAAAAGATAAATAATGTCTTGTTAAAGACAGTGATCCACTGGTAGCCTGATATAGTTGTGGGAGATGGTCTAAGTTTGTATGGAAGTCAGCTGCATTCATAATTCATAGTGTATGCATTCCAAAAGACAAATTTAACTCATATATTTTCCAAATATACACGACTTATAAAAGGATCTATAAAAAAGAAAACATACTGATTTGAATGATAGATTATGCTGTGATGTTAAATGCAGGATGTTAAAGTTTCATTAGTATGTTTTGGTTAGACTAAAATGCAACTAGACAAAAATTCTGCATGATTTAGAAACTGCTGTGATCCTTATTAGTCAGCCCAGTGCATAATTATTCCCAAATATGTAATTGAGGTGAATGGATAAAGAGATTGTAAAAGGGTAAAAAACTAGCAAGCCTATACTATCGTTCCTTATGTCACAACTTAAAGTAGTAAATTACAATTAAAAAACAAATGCTTATTAAACTAGTACTCCCAGATAATATGTTTCCTCTTTGAACTTTAACATATATAGTTGTATTGCCAAGGGTACCTAAAAATATTTATCTGGATTCCTTCATATTCATGCTATTTATTCAACTTGCCACATAAGGAGTATCACCAACTTCAATCTGAGAAAGTTTGCACCCTCAGATGAGTAACTAGAGGTCAGGAATAGCTTCTGGACAAGGCACAAAATGCACTTAACAAGTAACACATCACAAATCGAAATATTTAGTTTCTTTTATAATAAAATTATGTGTTATATACAGTCATTTTCACAAGTACTTTCAGATTTAACAGATACATTCAGAAATTCAAACTACATAATTATTTTCCATAATTATTTTGCAAGCTTTGTTGAGAGTTCATTCTAGAGTGCTATTTGGTTTAAATGACTAATAATAATTTTGAAAAAGAGGCTCCACAAGTAAACCAGTGATGTAAAATGGATCTACTCCCATTATCTGTTTCCAAATATATAAAATATATTTGTTTAATTAGGGAAGATAGTTGTGAAATAAAAAAAATTCAGGCAAGCATGAATAGGAGACCTAATATAAGCCTCTGAGACCTTTATTGGAAGCATAGATGTTGTCTGAGTTCTGTGAGGTTCTCTAGCTTTGATGAAAGTTTAAGGAGCTCAGTGAAGTCTCTCTCATAAACCTATATGTGATATTTTTAAACAAAATAGTGCTTGATCTGAATTTATTATTTGTTTCATTGGTCTCCAATTTTTAAATTAATTCTCAAAATGTTTTTGTCACCCCAGTATGGGACACCATGACTGCTAGGGCACAGAATGTTCCCAAGGTTTGGGAAGCCACTTAAGATCTTATTTTTTGACAGGTCATTTGAAGGAAGCTGGTGGAAGGGGTGCCTTAGGTAGATGAGATATTGTTTCATTTGTTACTTTATTTGGTTTGGTTTTGATTATATGCCAGCCTGAGATTTAGAGAATAAGCAATATATTGAAATGTGTATAAATAAATAAATGTTATACATTTTTCAATGAGTTTTAAGAGGAAGTGTCACTTACCCTGCAGTATTCATCAATTGGCTTTAATCTCTTCACAGCTACATCTCGAATGTGACTTCTTCGGAATAGGATTTTCCCTGGTGACAAAGAAGATACAAAGATTAAATATGTATCTTGTCAAAAATTGTTTATAACTCGGTCATCCTGATTCACATATAGATGGAAATAGTTGATGCATTCTACTTTGCATGTAAATAGCATAAAAGGGTTTTGCTAAATTTACTTATTCTGAAATTTTTAGAGAAGGAAAAGTGCACAATTATTCATATTTATTTCTGGAGTTGTTTTAATAAACATGATGTTCAAACATAACTTTCACTTATTTGTGTATTATTACACACATTTTGAACTAAGAATTTTTACATATTATTTTGTTTAATAGTACACAGAAACAAACAAACAAACAAATATTCTCACTGATTCATTCACCAGTTCATTATTTCTTTCCACTCCATTTCCTATCTTCTAACAAAAGCTGTATGTTTCTTTTCACAGAAATAACATACATACATGCATACATATTCCAGAAATGGACGGCAATCTATAAAATCTTGTTTAAAAAGCAGACAAACACATTTCTACAACATCCTTTAAAGAAGGTAACCAAGTTACCTTTAGCTTGCCATGTTTTTCAAATCAACACAAATCCAACCCAAATGGATGGAAATTTCTTGTAAATTCATTGACAATATTACCCTAACAGACCTATATCTATTTTTGTCTATTGACAGATGTGTATTTCATTCAAAAATACTCCAAATTCAGCCATATTCTGAATTCAGCCATCCGCTGAAGAAGACGAAGATATAATATTAAAGAAGCAGTCTTATTAAAATTAGTATGCACAGGCACGAAAGGTAATACAATGTATATCCAAAGGTTTATCTAAGATAAAAAAAGCATGAGAAGTAAAAACCTACTAAATTATTAACGGAGACTAAAAAACATGTAACTACAATGTATTTAAAAGGCATTGCTGATTGAGAAGATAGTTAGAGCTAAGATTATTACTATGGACATAATCTAATGGTGTCGTTTTTATTGTCCTCCACTTGACAGTTAAGAGTGCAGTACTGCAGGCCACTTGAGCTCACTGCTATCTGCAGTTCGGCGGTTCAAATCTCACCAGCTCAAGGTTGACTCAGCCTTCCATCTTTCCGAGGTGGGTGAAATGAGGACCCAGACTGTGGGGGCAATATGCTGACTCTCTGTAAACCGCTTAGAGAGGGCTGAAAGCCCTATGAAGCGGTATATAAGTCTAACTGCTATTGCTATTGCTATTGCTAAGATTTGCTATCTATTTGTATTAAACTCTTGCTCAGAGTTCAGTATTCTGTACAAGGAATTGTCAATCTGGTAACCACCATCACTATTTTAAAAAGTCTTCATTTGGCTGTTGCAATTTGTAGTTAGTTCTGGAAATATTAAAGCACACCCTGAGTCTGTAGAAAAATAGGTTAATAAGATCTTATGTAGGGTTTACCCTAGTAAAATGAAAAGAGAGGAATAAGAAAGGAAGGATAAAGGATTAAAGTATGTGGGCTAGCAGTAACAATAGGAAAGATAAACAATTAGGTTCTGGACTTAGTATTTTCAATTATATATCAAGCATGCATATAACAATTCTGCAAACCCTATTAAGCTTTAAATATAATGTATACAACCAATATGATTCATTCAAAGAAGATCATAATAGTTCATGTGTATAAATGATTGGATTTGCATTTAATTCATTCAAGAATAGCAAAACCAAAGCTACTGTTTACAGATTTCCAGAAAACCAGGAAAATAATGTATTTATACACATTGCCAAAAATAATTACAATGAAGCATATTGGTCTAGCTCCAGGAAAGGAAAAGAGTTCATCTGGCAGATCTCAAGTTGGCTTTCCGTTAAGCCTTCATTAGAGCCATATGATCTACTTTAGCAATAAAAGGAGGGATTTTGTTCCTAACTTTAGAATAGCAAGTATGAAATGATGAATACATGGGACTATAAAAGGCCTTCTCCTTTTAAAGAAAAACCTTTCTCCCTTATCTGTAGCTATTCTTACTATGCTCTGAAGAAATATAAACATAGAATTGGTACTGCGGGACAATCTTCTCACCAGGAATTTTTTTGCAAGAATCTAAAAGACAATGAACAGTTAAGTCTCTGTTGCATAAATAAAATTTGCAAAGCATTAATATTAGCAGATTGCTTGAAGCAAGCTGGCCACAAACAAGTGAAAGGAAGCGTTGGACAGAAAGTGTTCTTGTGACTAAATAGAAAATTCATCCATCTCAATAATCAACAAACTGCAATAATATATACAATTTGTGCTCATAATGATTTCCTAAGGTTCTTAGAAGTGCCCATCACTTTATTGCAACATCACTCTGATCTCTCTCTGAAACCAAATAAAGCAGAAACTCGACAGATAAAAAGACAACATATAATACTAGTAAATAGTTGCAAAATCACAAGGGCTTATCTGACATGCAGTTTGAAATGTTGAAATCATACATTGACTGACTAATGAAGCAGATTATTGAGCAGTTACAGACTAAAATACCAGACAGCAATCAAATGTCATCCACAATTTTAAACAAGAATATACTAGAAGAAATATATTTTAAACTCTAACACAATTACAATTATATTCTGTATTCTACTTGGCTGCAACTGGCACCTAACTTAAAATTCATCAGGGCATCCAAGAATATTCCTAATCAGTGATGTGATTCTTACAACATGTCAACAACAACAACAACAAAAGATCTTAAATATGACCAATGACTCCAAAAGGCTTACAGATTTGCTCAGGCTTCTTCATTTCAGTGTTGATGCATCTTAGAGAGCACAATTAAATAGGAGTACATATGTTTTGAATTGTGCATTTCATGAGGAAAATGAATAGATGCTGTTGCATCCTTTCATTCGTGCTGGCCTCCCAGTAGCAAAAATTGAACCAGTATTCTGGTAAGATCCAGCAAGGCTGTCCTTATTATTTTACTGCAGAAGGTCTCAAATTCAATTCTTTCCACAACAAAACCCTGTTTTAGTCTGTGTAGAACTGCAGGAAGTTAAAATAGGCATTGTAGATGAACTAAACAGCTGCCTGCCTGGCCTATGTGAAAGCTGGCAGGAGATACAGTTCAGCATCTGTAGAACCACAGGTTACCTACCCATGAAACAAAAATTGAAATGTAAGAATTAATGGCAAAAAGTCATGAATCTTCACACTTATAACAGTTACAGTGTCCTGGAGTAATGTGATCACATTATCCCCTTTTGTGACCATCTAATAAGCAAAGTCAATGGGGAAATCAGATTCACTTATTAAATGTGTTACTAATTTAAGAACTGCAGTGATTCTCTTAACAAATGGGGTGAGAAAAGTCATAAAATGAGGCAAAACTCAATAAATTTCTCACTTAGCAACAAAAATTTTGGGCTCAATTGTGTTCGTAGGTTGAGGACTAACTGTAGTTGGAAAAGGTGCTACAGATTCCTTTTGATTTTTTTGCCACCATAGATGAACATGGGTGTTGAAGAATAACTAATGACTCTTTTGATATAAGACAAAGTAAGTATAACTTGGATGTCAGGTTTTCATTCATTGACACTTTAGCTTATAACAGCAACCTGTTATAACTGCAAATGTTCATATCACAAGAAACACGATCATGCCACACTGAACAATCCCATTTTCTAACCAAAGCAAAAGCATTTAGATATTTACTCAGGGATTGTTTTTCTACCTAATACTTCATTGTGTCTTATACAGAATTCTGTCCCTACCAAAATGTATTCCTCTTCATCTTTGTTCTGCAGTTTTGTGATTTTAAAAAAACTTTACAAGACGGCCAGGTTTAGGTAAAATGAATACTGATAAACCTCAGAGGAAAGATATAAATTGACAAATGTGGTTTTGGATATTGAGTAATTGCACATGAATCTACAATCGTGAAAGAAGCCAAACTGGTTAGGCTGCTACAAAACACTGGCCCAATCAAACTGAGCCTTCTTTCTAAGCCACAGCAAAAAGAAGCAACAACTGCTGAAATACTGCTTGCCTTTGTTCCCAGGTGCTGCTGTGCTATGCAGAGCTGGCTATCGTTTATAACATTCTGACACCAGGAATCTTACTTACCTCTCAAAGGGTGGTAGACTTATGGTCTCCAGTTCCCACCTGATGCTGGATAGATGCCATCATCTTTACAAGCACATGGCCTAAAGACACTGAAAGATCCATTGAGCTCCCACCTCATACTTCCACTGAATGTCACATGGACTAGACTGGACATACTTTCTGAAATCTTCATCTCCTAAATAGGCAGAAACTTGTCCTAAGAAGCAGGATTTGACACGAGACAAATATTGCAAAGAAATCCATAATTTTAGCACACTGTTATTTAGTGTGTAAGGGACTCATTGTTTTCCTTCTAGTAGCAAGCTTAATCAGATAGTGATTCATTTTTTTAGCTTTAATTTTTAAATGGATGAAAGAGAATGGTGCAGACAGGAAATGGTGGAGCCCACAGAATCCTTGTGGTTTTTATTTTACCTCTTAGGAGAACCTTATAGCTGGAAAGGTAAACGGTAAAGTCTCCCCTCGCACATATGTGCTAGTCTAGGGGGTGGTGCTCATCTCTGTTTCAAAACCAAAGAGCCCGCGCTGTCCGAAGATGTTTCTGTGGTCGTGTGGCTGCCATGACTAAACGCCAAAGGCACCCGGAACGCTGTTACTTTTCTACCAAAGCTGGTTCCTATTTTTCTACTTTCATTTTTAAATTTTTAAAGAAGATAACAGATGAGCAAATGTCATTGAATGAGCACCAACTAATATGCCTGCCTTTAAAAAAAAACTTTAGGTAAAAAATCCTATTTGCTTCATGCCATTTTACTTTGTGCTGCTATTTTTATCCTACAAACAATACATTTTGCACATCATCCAAAGGTTTTACAAGTTTGGTATTGAGTACTGAATGTACTCAAATGCTTCTGTTAATTCCTAAGCAAGGTATAACGTGTGTAGAAAAGATCAGGTTCAATCCCAGGTAGAGTTCAGGGTAGCAAAATAGTAAAATACTT